TTTGGTAGATCGTGTACCATCTTGAGCTGACATTCAGACAAAGGTGATGTTGATGATGAAGATGAAGATGAAGATGGGATGGGATGAAATTAAATTAAATTAGGTGATCATCTGTCACAACAACAACAACAAGTGGTGGCGATGATTCAGGTGTGACACAACACAAGGTACTGTTGTTGATGGTGATGATAACCACAGGTGTGTGATGCTACTTGCTGGACCGTTGTTGTTGACAGGTGCTGCTGCTACTGTTGTTGACAGTAGTAAGTCTTCAGGTCAGACAACCTTGAACACACACTAGTCATCACACCAGCACAAACACACACGAGGTCAGAGGTGGTCGGCGGTGGAGGAGGAGGCGAAGTTGAAGAAGAAGATGGCGCGTCACTCACAGTTTTCTATTTGGCCTTTGCCTTTTGGCGCGAGCCCCTGCCTTTGCCTGTGCTTCCAGCAGCAGCAACAGCAGCAGCAGCGGCGCAGCGCGTTTTCCAACCGTTTTTTTGCCGCTGGGAAAGTTTCGAAAGTTTTTTCCGGAAACTTTTCCCGTTGTTTTGCAGCAGCAGCGGCGCTTTGACCAGCGTTCTCGCGCGCAAATCCTCGAACAAAGAATCCTTTACCCGAAGATCATCATCACCTCCCCATCCATCCAAGGTTATTCCTCTGGTGTTTTGTGTTTTCCCCAACACTGTGCAGTAACAATCTCTTTTCCTTTGCACCCATCAGGTGAAGAAACGGACTCACTTCTGCTGGAGGCCCTCGAGACTGTCGAACTGTACTTCAGTGACGTCCATTAGGGCGATCAATACCAGTGGCAAGACTCTGCTTGTGTCTGTGTACTCTTCTCGTACATCCCCAATCGATCGACACTCCTTGTCAAGTGTTGTCGTCTCCTGCACCGCATCGACCCGAAGCAGCAGCAGCAGCCTCAAGTCTGCTCCTAATCAATCAATCAATCAAACATACAAACACTAAACTAACATTTTATTGCTCTTCGAACAACACACACTGTGCTCGGGCACATCGCAGAGAAGAGTGAAAAAGAGACAAAACCGTTTGTTTGCTTTGCTTCGCCAGGCTGCAATCGCACTGCGGCGAGCCTTTGCTTTTGCTGCTGAAGATGAACATGTGTCGAAGATGTCGGCTAGACTTTGGTCCTAGCTAGAACGCTACGCATTTTTATCAAGCACGGCAGCACTCTGAAGGAAAAGCACACGCTTACACTTTCACTTCAGTTGATAAAAACCGCGCACATTTCAAACCAAGGTTTATCAGCTCGACACATGAAAAAAAGTGGAGCCGAATTAAGATTCACTGTGGTGAATCCAGCTTGCATCAAACATGTCTGTGCAAAGTTCCGCTCACCAGAAGTAAACTGAAGCAGCAGCAGCAGCAATAACAACTTCGAACTGAAAAGCACTGTTTGTCGCAAATCGAATGGCTGCGAATCGAAAGGAAGATTTGTGATTGGCATATTGCACCGACCACGCTCCTTCCACCGCATTCAATATCCGAATTTACGGAAAATTTTTGAACTTTATTTGCAACTACGACGACCACGAGAGAGAGAAAGAGAGTACCTTTTATTTCTGGCTCCGTTTGATAAACTTCTATCTCACGTATTTGTCAGCAAGCAGCGCAAGGCAAGGCAACCACACCAAGTATGAGATGATCTACACCGAAACCGGAGTCTCTCGTTCGCCAAATGCTGATGATAGCTTATCTGAAAGATGGCAAAAAAAATCGGCGGCGGCCGCCGACAATATTTTCCTTTTAGCAGCAGCAGCTGATGATGATGATGATGATGCAAAGCTGGCTAAGCTAACGAGGCATCAGCAGCAGCAGCAGGAGTTGGTCATGTCTCATCTGTGGCAGACACACTCACAGTCACAGCACAAGATTGATGACAATCTGAGCAGAGTTATGGCCAAATTATGAACAGCAGCAGCGTGGACGACGACAACGACGGCGACACGTCTCTCCTCACCTCTTCTCTGTTATCAGCAACTGCTGCTGCCTCCTCTTTCTCGCCTGAAGCAAGACCGTCTTCTTTTTTTCTTCTTCTTCTTCACCATCATCATCAGCCTCATCAGCAGTAGCAACACTGCTGAGAAAACAACGATAGCCGATATCTTTGGCTCCCCTTTGGGGGCAGCAGCAGCAGCAGCAGCAGCGGCAACTTCGATGCAAGGTAGCTGATAAGGGAAAGTGTACGACACCTTCCCCCTCCTCCCTCCTCGCTTTTCAACCGACCACCACCACCACCACTGAACGAAAATCGACTATAAATTCGTGCAAACGAGTTTGCTCTAGCTCTAGAGAGTTGCTTGAACTGACTGTGCCACCACCGCTGCTGCTTCTCTAAAACTAGTGCTTCAAACCGAGGATTTGCCACTGACTCTAAACTTCTAACTTCCAACTTCAACTTCAGATTCGCCTTTACCACCACCACCCTCTTCAACATGCTCTCCAAAATGGCCCTCCGACGTCTGGCGCAGGCCGTCAAAGCGTCTTCTCCATTAGTTCAGCAAAACCTTGTCCGCTCGGTGACCTCGAGCTCTTCGGCCAGCTCTCGTCTGGCGACCGCTTCCGCCGCAGCCAAAGGACAACAGCTCAGCTCGCAGGACATCTTTGAGCGTGAGGACAAGTACGGCGCCCACAACTACCACCCGCTGCCGGTGGCCCTCGCCAAGGGAAAGGGTAAGTGACCGTTTGTTTTGTTTTCTTTTCAAACATTTTCGATCATTTACGGTTCTAAAATAAAACTATTTCCACCCCCTAGGCGTGTACGTGTGGGACGTGGAGGGCAAGCAGTACTACGACTTCCTCTCCGCCTACTCCGCCGTCAACCAGGGCCACTGCCACCCGCGGATCGTCGCCACGCTGCAAGCCCAGGCGGAAATCCTCACCCTCACCTCCCGCGCCTTCTACAACAACGTCCTCGGCGAGTTCGAGGAGTACATCACCAAGCTGTTCGGCTACGAGAAGTTCCTCCCCATGAACACCGGCGTGGAGGCCTGCGAGTCAGCCGTCAAGGTGGCCCGCCGCTGGGCCTACGACGTCAAGGGCGTGCCGGAGAACCAGGCGAAGGTGCTCTTCGTGGAGGACAACTTCTGGGGGCGCAGTCTGGCGGCGGTCAGCGCCAGCACCGACCCCAGCAGCTATAAAGGCTTCGGGCCGTTTATGCCCGGCTTCGAGACGATCCCCTACAACGACCTGGCCGCCCTGGAGGAGAAGTTCGTCAAGGAGGCCGGAACGATTGCCGCCTTCATGTGCGAGCCCATCCAAGGAGAGGCGGGCGTCGTCGTGCCCCGAGCCGGCTACCTGCAGGGCGTCCGCCAGCTCTGCACCAAGTACAACGTCCTCTGGATCGACGACGAGGTGCAGACCGGCATAGGGCGGACCGGAAAGATGCTCGCCGTCGACCACGAGTCGGTCCGCCCGGACATTATCTGCCTGGGCAAGGCGCTCTCCGGGGGCGTGTACCCGGTCAGTGGCATTCTGGCCGATGACCGGGTGATGCTGGTGATCAAGCCCGGCGAGCACGGCTCGACCTACGGCGGCAATCCGCTCGGCATGAAGGTCGCCCTCACCGCCCTGGACGTCGTCCTCGAGGAGAAGCTGGCGGAGAATGCGGAGGCGATGGGCCGCCTCTTTCGCGAGCAGCTCACCGAGCGCCTCTCCAAGGAGGTGGCGCTGACGGTCCGCGGCCGCGGCCTCCTCAATGCCATTGTCGTGCGGGAGCAGTTCGACGCCTGGCAGATCTGTCTGCGGCTGAGGGACGCCGGCCTGCTGGCGAAGCCGACGCACGGCGACAAGATTCGCTTTGCCCCGCCTCTGACCATCAACGAGGCGCAGATGGCGGAGAGTGTGGACATTATCGTGGCGACGCTCAATGGCATGAAGAGGGCGTGAAGAGGAGGAGGAGGTGATGATGGAGTNTGCGGGGCTGCTGGCGAAGCCGACGCACGGCGACAAGATTCGCTTTGCCCCGCCTCTGACCATCAACGAGGCGCAGATGGCGGAAAGTGTGGACATTATCGTGGCGACGCTCAATGGCATGAAGAGGGCGTGAGGAGGTGTTGATGGAGGTGATGGAGTTTGTGGTGGAGGAGTTTACGGAGTGTACAAAAGTCGATGATGTGATGTTCAGTTCCCCCCCTTTTTATTTATTCTTTCTGTCTGATGATGACGATGATGATTTTCAAGTGTGCCTCTNAGAGGAGGAGGAGGTGATGATGGAGTTTGTGGAGATGGAGGAGTTTACGGAGTGTACAAAAGTCGATGATGTGATGTTCAGTTCCCCCCCCCCTTTTTATTTATTCTTTATGTCTGATGATGACGATCATTTTCAAGTGTGCCTCTTTTTCTACTGATAAATTCTTTTTCTTCTCTTATGATGAAACGGTGAAGGGAGGACTTCGCCAAAAAGGGGCCGCCAATTATATCATGGTCATTAGTTTCACTACACCGGATTGTGTTTTTGTTTGTGGTGATCACCTCCCTGTCACACTGCCACCAGCGCCAATTATCATTCTTGCCTGTTCTTCGTTGTCTCCTCTTCTTCTAATTGTCTAATCTTTGGGGGCCCACCACTACACTACCATCACCGGCACCCTTTTAATCTTCTCCTTTCGGCGGTAATTGAAATCATCACCACCACCACCGACGGCACACAATCCAATCCTATGTTCTCTTTTGTTCTTTTGCTTGATTGGTGAGCTGAGGAAGATATCCTGGAGTGTACGACACACATTCGCCTTCTTTCATTGTCCTTCTTCTTCTGTTCTGGTTTCTTGTCTAATCGGTCGATCGCGCTGTGCGTTTGCGGTTAGTCGCGCCGCAGTGGTTGCGATTGCAATTGTGTGATGGCAGTCACCCCTCTCCTCTCAACGAGCTCCTCTTCTTCTTATTCTTCTTTAGCTCTTTTAGGCCAATTGAAGCAGCCAACAACGAAACGACCACTTTTCCGGTTGATTAGAGAGGGAGAGGGAGAGAGGCTGAATGAACTGAATGTGATTCGAAAAGAAGAAGCAAAAGAGAACTTCTCCTTCGAAAAGAGAAGAAGAAGAAATCGCCTGCGCGAAATAGCCACAGAAGCAGCAGAACCCGAACTCTGTCGCGATAGTCGCCACCAGCGCGCACGCGAAGCAGAAGGAAAGAAAGAAGGCAGTGAGGGCGGCGCTTCTCTCTCTCTCACTCGCTCACTTCTGCTGCTGCTGCTGCGAAGAAGAAGAAGAAGACGGGATCCTCAGACTTTCTGTTTGTTTGGAGC